GGAAACGAGCACAGCCCGTTATGAGCCCAACATTATTAAAGTTTTTCCTTTTTTCTTAGTCCTAAGTCGTTTTGACATTGATAACCATGGAGAATCAATAGAGTCGAGACGTTTTCAAATTTCCACCGAGAGAATCTCTAACTGTCGCCGGCAGGGACAAAGGAGATTATCATTCTTCAGGAGCACTCGCTTGGTAATTTTTAAGGTACGTATCTCTGCCGTTCGATTATTCCTTTCGAGGTTTGGTAGATTTTTTTGAGTTAGAGGTTAAAATATATAGAAATTATTGCGAAGTTGTACATGGGTGAAGAAGGAGAGCAACGTGTTGGTGCCACAAGCCCGGGTGATGAATTAGTACAAGTAGATAAGCTGATCAATTTGCCAGATGACTTGCTATATCAGGTTCTCTTGAATCTTCCCGCAAAAGATTTGGTTAAGACTAGTGTGTTATCACATAGATGGAGAAATCTCTGGAGACATGTACCTGGTTTGAAGTTGGAGATACCACTGTCAATTTACACTTGTGAGAGCTTGGTATTCTTGAATCTCTGTGACGTAATCTTGCCTAAACCCAAGTCTGTCTCTTTACCTTGTGTCAAAGTTATCTCTCTAGATAGGGTTAAGTTTGCCAACAATTGGTCTTTCGGAATGCTCATCCTAGGCTCCCCAGTTCTCGAAAGCTTAACGATAAAGAGGAGTAGTGCCTGTGACAATATAGAAAATTTACTTGTGTTATCGGAGTCTCTATTGAGCTTCACACATGTTGGCCACTGTGCCCAGAGGAGTTCATGTCGCAATGAAATTTACATTAATGCTCCCAGGCTTGAGTATCTCAACCTTGTTAATGATCAAACTGATCGTTTCATGTTAAAGAACCTAGGATCTCTTGTTAAGGTGGATATGGATACTACCTTTAACTGGAGTTATGCAAATAAGATTAATCCGAATGATCTACCAAAGAGAAATACCTTTAGTATGTTTCTCCTTGGGATCTCTAGTGTCAGAGAGATGGCCATCACTTCGGGTACTCTCGAGGTAACAAACTATGCTTTAGTTTATTCGTAAAAGAAGGAAATTACTATATCACAACCTCTACTCTGATACGCTCCTTTCTTTCTTGCAGGCCATCTATAATTACTCGAGATGTGAACCATTACCCTTATTCCGTAACCTATCTTCCTTGCGTGCTGACTTCAAAGACTACAACTGGGAAACGTTGCCAATCTTTCTCAAGAGCTGCCCCAACCTAAAATCTCTCTCCTTGGTAAGGATTTTTTTACAGAACCCATATGTAAACTTCTTCTTTTTTTATTAATGCAAATGGTGAAAGTGTCTCATACTCAACTTGTTTCATCCGTTTGGTCCTAACTTGTAGGCATTTGAAAGCCCATGGGAGCAGCCAATTAGTATTCTACCTGAACCTCATAGTTTCCTACAAATTCTTGAGTCTGTTGAGATAGTAAAGCCAATGAGAGACGATGATGCATCGGAGATGATCCTAGCGAGTTACTTTCTCGAGAACTCAACAATCCTCAAGAAATTCACTTTGTGCTTGGGTGGTTGCAGAAAGAATGAAGAATCTGTCATCCTCAAGAAACTCCTTTCCATTCCAAAACTCTCTAGCTCATGCCAAGTTATCTTTCTCTTATCCTCATAATCGTCAAAATTGATATATGAACATGCATGCTTTATTAATGTGAACTCTAGCTATGTTTCTTTTTCGTTTGTTATGATTTTGATTTATCGTGTGATTTTAATATTTTTCTTCTTTCGTCTTGTGGTGCTCTTATACCATTTCTAATGCTACGTGCAATGCACGGATTAAAATTTAGTTTAGTTAAATATGTTTTTCACAAAAGTCGCTCCCTTAGAGCCTTTCCTTGGGGTAAGAATGAAAACAGACACATGAAAAATAACTTTTGTAATAAATAAGCTATGGAAGCCAATAAAAGTATCAATTGACTTTTTTTGTTTGTTTTAAAGTGCAACATATCACTTAAAGATGAAACCAAAAAATAAGATGGTTATAAACCCTTAAAGCCACCACATGAACTAATAACACATGACATATGTCTTCGAGTGCTTTGTTTTTTTATGGAATTTAATTGTGCACTCCGTTTTTTTTTTCCAATGGAATTTAATTTATTGTAGCTTTTAAGAGAATCATATGTCATCACCATAGTCATCATCAAGGAAGGTTTTCTTTGAGTACTTAGTTCATGTGAATAATTTGTGTTTATTAGTTTATGATGATATATTTGAAGTGTTGAAAGTTTGTAAAAGAATCTTACTTTATGGGTGAAATCAGTATCACTACATCGTTGCTAATACATGCTCTGAAAATTTCAAGAGTAAATTGTTAGTACTTTCTTCTTTTGTCTTGAGGTAGCTAAAATGTATTGGTAGGGAAAAATACAAAGGCGAGAGATGAAGATTTCTGTAAATTTGGGGGTTAAAATGACAAAAGATTGAAAAAACGCACAAACATAAACGTACACAGCCCATTATAAGCCCAACAGTGTTAAATTTATCCTTTTCCTTGTCCTACGTCGTTTTGATACCTATAGAGATTTAATTAAACGGGAATGGGGATTTCACTTTCCCACCGAGAGAAGTATCGCCGGAAAATCAACCACTGGAGTGACAAAGGAGACACTTTGGCCGGAAAATTCGACGGCGGTTTATGTCTCAACTCTACTATCATTCTTCAGGAGCCATTACAGAGTGGCACTCTCACTCGCTTAGAGTCATCGCTCCATTTTGACCTACTCCTTCGTGCTACTTGGCGATTTTGAGGGTACTTATTTCTGTCGTTCGATTCCTTTTGAGGTTTGATAGATCTTTTGAATTAGATCTAATATGGCTACTAGGGAAGAGAGATAGATAAAGTACAGATCGATCCTTCAAGATGTCCAATGGAGGTATGGTCACCCTCCAGACTTCAATAGTTTAAGCTTTTTGGCAATGGTAATTACCACAAACACCTAATCAATATGATCTCAAAACTGTATAATTACCAACAAATATCAGAGACAAAAACCAAAGACAGTGGAGACAACACTGCAGAGAAACAAAGCTGCCCCTTCATACATTAAGAAAATTATAGGATCTACAAATGTTTACTGGTCCGTATAACATTGGGATATACCGGAAAATAAGGAAATCAGAAGTGTATGTAGACCCTTTAAAGAATACATTGTAAGAGTCATTTGGATTTTGATGCATGGAATAAGTTATAAGTAATGTTTGCAGGCGTCAACATGATAGTACAGATAAAAGAAGTAGAATTAAAGGCAGTTGGTTTAACTGACCAGTTTCTCAGCAGAACTCAACCTTTGAATCAACCCCATTTTGACATTCATCCATGAGAGCCACGTTCAACATTTCGGTACAGAATTGATCATCAGGTTTCAATAATAAGGCCTGAAGATAGAGAAAAGAAACAGAGGATGATTGAGAAACAATAAAGTGTTTAGCTCATCGATGAAAAGTGGACATCATTCCAAGTTTGCTCATATATAGTAGTGTGTATACCTTGTGACAATATGAGATGGCAGCTGAGAAATTCCCCTGGACAAGAATAAAATAGGCAACTCTTTGCTTTTGTGATAATCAGTGCTACTACTGCTAAGAAGAAAATGACTGGTGTTTAAAGAACAATCAAATACCTGCAGATGGTAAGTGTAAGCCATGCCGGAATAAGTGCTTAAGCTTTTAGTTGATAGTGTTAGTGCTCTTTCATAATACGAGATAGCTTCACGGTCCTTCCTGTTAATAAGAATTTTCGCAAGCCAATAACTTCGTAAAATTCACAACACGAGACTGCCTACATAAGAGGAAGACCATGGTAGTTGTATGTGGACCATTATACCTTAGCTTTCTATATGCATGAGCGAGATTGACCACAGTAGGTTCCCAGATTTCAGTTAATGCAGATGGTATATGAGCCAACGTCTTCTTAAACCACCGCACAGCTTTACCATACCTGACATGTAGTGAATGTTATTGACTCAAGTTACAGGATAAGCAGACTGTAAAGAGAAAAGGAACACACTCTTTCATATGATATGCAACAACTCCGAGTTCATTATAAACAAGTGGGCATAAAAGCTTGCATGAAAAACTGGACCAAGAGAACAAATCAAAGTAAATACAATATTAGCACAAAAGATCAGTCATATAATTTGAAAATTCCACACAGCATACTGTAACTTGTTACCTGTTCCGCAAGCTTGTAGCTGTGAGTTCGCATATACTCCATTCCAATGTACAGAGTTGGCAAATGACACCTGGAACAAGATAATATCAAGATTCAACCTGTAAAAGACAATTTGTAACGTAATAAGAAGACTTCCACAATGCTTCATGGATGAGAATGAGTAACTTACTGTCAACTAACTTTGAAGAAAACAAGAGTAACTTGATTACCCTGGAAATAGCCTAGCGGCAGTACGATAGGCAGACATGGCTTGGTCACCCTCCTCTTGGGCGGCAAAGGAATTACCAAAGCCTATCCAAGCTGCTGAGAATGAGCCATCCATACTCGTTGCTTTGCCGCAAGACCATATTAAAAGAAATGGAGCGTCAGGTCAGACACATACTCGTTGCTTTGCTGCAACTGCATACTAGAATTGATCAATCCTGAATAACGCCATAGCATAATTACCTAAAGTACCGCCGAGCTTCACCATACTTTTTGATACAATAGTAGTAACAACCCACCGCAAACCATGAATGAGTATACACCCACAAAGCATCAGCCAGAAGAATTCTGTCTCACATGCTAACTCATGAAAATTTAGCTCAATCACCAATATGCGAAAGCATTTATAACCAGAACAAGTACAGAAAACATTTTCAACCAAACAATCGACAGAAAAAATCATGCTCTTGAAGTTGATTTCAGGATTGGGATATCCTAGCTAGGATTGGGACAAAAACAGAAGAATTATATCCCGATCGACATGCTAACCCACTGGCTTGAGAAATAAATTTTGTACTCACTTGGCAGGGTAGTCTTTCACCAAATTGCATGCCATTAGATAGAGCTCATTTGAATTACCAAGTTCCATGGCAGCGGCCAAATGTACCAAGGTACACTTCAGATGAAAAGGATCTTTCTCAAGGAGTCTGTCAAATTAGATAAAAAAAAGTCCGCATCACTGGAATCATTCATGTTTCATAATATTTAGAATCAGCAGTACTATAAAACTTACGCCGAAGTTAGTTCGAAAACGCTTCTGATATTCACAGCATTGATGGTAGTACTCAGCTTTGTAGGCCAACAGATCAGTGTTATTAACCAATGTACTGATCATAGATGAGCCAGAGACACTCCCATTAGTTTCGTTCTCAAGCTTCTTGAACTTAGCTTCTACTGTGCTCTCCTTGTCATACTGGACACGAAGAACTCATAAGTACCAAGAAGAAAAAGAAAAGATGCTTGCAAAAAGTACTCAGCAGAATCGAGAACCAGCAAGCAAATTTCACATATCAGTGCCACATGACTATTGAAATATATCGGAACAAACTCATTACAGCATAGAAATTTTCACCTTCTTTATCAAACATGAATAGAAAGAAGAGAGCCATCCGTCTGCTGGACTAAACTGCAGTTAGGAAAGCAGATTTGATTCTGAATTTTATGAAAATTAACGTCTCAGATACCTTCTAGTCATGTACACGACAATAAGACAATATAATAAAGAACAAAAAAGGTTCAAATATCACTCACCTTCTTCAGATATAAGCATATGACTTTCAATAAGGCATTCCAAAGCCTGAAAGGATAGATTACAGAAATCACATCTATGTCAAAGCTTTCTGAGTTCTAGAGGAGAAACTTCAGGTTTTTACTACTATACACTGTAATGAGGAGATATAATCTTTCCACATTTCGGCAACTGGAAATAACAAGTAGCAATTGACTAAGGCGTTAGAGGTACCTCATAGCACGGAGGATCAGCCTTGATAGCAGCTTTATACCTTTAATCGCAACCGAAATTCACGAGTTTATTAGAGATGAAGATCAAGATTCTCACACACCACTCAATCATAATAGATGGATCCGAGCACTTGAGCAAATCTTATACATACTAAGTTCATGTTACACCACTAAATCAATAGGATCACTCTCTCACATGTTACACCACTGATGCAGATGACAGATGATTACTTGAACAAGAAAAATAGGTGAAATAAGCAAAATACATCCCCTGCATATATCAGTGGAAACAGTATGGAGATCGACCAGTTAATTCAATTAAAACAAATTCGTGAACTTAGCTTCTAAATTGAAGTAGTACACATTTTTGAAAAAGGTTAAGAAACTTACATTTATCTCTCGGTCCTCTCCATCTTTATCAAAGTAAATCACGTTACCATCTTTAGCATCATACACATTACCATCTTCATCAACCTTAGCATCGCCGAGCATCAAAAGGCACTGATCCCATTCCTTCAATTCCTCCTGAGAAAAAAAAAACACATAAAATGACCCATAAACCCTAAAACCCATTTATCACCAAAAACCCAATTTCAAGCGAAACCATCTATAAATTCCAATGACCCATCTCAAAACAAACCCAAAAAGGAGAAGATTTCTCCATTTTTGTTGTTCTGACGACACTTACTAGAAATTGGGTTCTTGACAAAAAGAAAAAGAAAAAGAAAAATTGGGGATTTTGATTTTTGTTGGTGGGCTCGAAAACTCTCTCTTCCCTGTAAGGGCACAACCGTAATTAACTCATTAGGCTTTTTCCCTTTTAAAGGAAGGGTTTTCGAGCCATTAAATCCCCAAAGTATCGTCTCTTAGCTTTAGAAGAATCAGAAAGTTTGTTACAGAGAGCAAGAAAACGAAGAGCGAAGAAATCGCAGCAGGATCTACATTCATCGAAAGCTCAAAGATTTCGTAAGCTTCTTCTTATCTTCTTACTTTTTTTCTTTCTTAATCAATCGGATTCCTCTCGACATTGATACATTCATCTTCGTCTCTAAGGTTTCTAGAGAAATCAGAGACTTTGTTACGGAGCAAGAAAACGAAGAGCGGAGAAGTCGCAGGATTCGTAAGCTTTTTATCTCCTTACTTTTTTCTTAATCAATCGGATCGACATTGATACATTCAAGTTTCGTTAGCGTCTTTCTTCTTGCTGCATCATCTCGTTCCCTATTCTCTTAATATTTCAATCCGATTCGCTGTGAAATCTGATAAAGTTTCTTCTTGCGAAGATATACTCGTAGCATCTTCATCGGAGAGGGGAAAGAAGCCGCACATTCATAGAAGCAAGTTTCGTAAGGTCTTGTTCTTTTTCTTGCATCAATCGGATTGAGTTCTTCTCCAATCGTAAGTTTCGTTTTCCATTAATCAATCGGATTGCATTTTTTTTGTTCAATCAGGCATGGAAGAAGCCGCAGATAACATCGTCCCTGCGAATTGCTCGCCTGTTGAAGTAAACAGGCTCCTCAATTTCTTGCCCGAACCTCTACGATCTAAGATTCTCCTAAAGCTTCCCACAAAAGACGTGGTTGAGTTAAGCGGGGTATGCAGAAGATGGAGGGATCTCTGGAAGTCGGTTCCTGGGTTGGATTTAGGTTATGCTGATTTCCCGACATACAACAGTTATGTCATATTCGTGGATGAATTCTTGGCCTTGAACGTAGGCCTTGAGAAGTTCAAACTGAAGTCCAAATCTTCTAGCCTGAGGTACGAATGGAATCAAGATGAGCCTCTGGTTGCTCATGTTACACGCTGGATGAATACAGTGCTTGAGAAGAAACTGGAACATCTCCATATTCTGGAAAGGCAATGGCACTTGAACAATCCAGTGGAGGTGCCTAGAACAGTGTACACTTGTACCAGTTTGGTCTCATTGAAGCTGCGAGACGCAAAGTTGGCAGATACAGACTCGGTCTTTTTACCTTCTCTGAAAGTCATCAAGCTTGATGGAGTGAAGTTTCACAGTGATTCGGCGTTGGAGTGGCTCGTCTCAGGGAGCCCTGTTCTTGAAACCTTGACGGTAAAGAGGAGTGCTGGTGACAATCTTAAGGTGCTTTGTGTTCGGTCTAAGTCTCTACTCAGCTTCGCCTTTGTTGGCCTCCGTGACAAGCAAATTGACGAAGTTCTTGAGGCTAAAATAAATGCCCCCAGGCTTGAGTTTCTCAACCTTATGAACGATCAAACTGATCATTTCGTTATAGAGGACCTGGGATCTCTTGTGAAGGTGAATATGGACACTACTTTTAACCTGGACTGTTCCCACATTGATGTGGATGATTTCGCCAAGAGATTTGCTATTCGTGATTTCCTCATCGGTATCTACAGTGCCAAACAGTTGGCTGTCACCTCATACCCTCTTGAGGTAACATGTGTTTTAGTTTCTCAGATAAAAAAAAAAAGCATTACACCTCACCACCTGTCAAATACATCTGAGACCTTTTTTTTTTCTTTCTTGCAGGTCTTCTATGTTTACTCACTGCTTCCATTGGAGAACGTGTCACTCTTGCACGTGGACTTCATCTACAACAACTGGGAAATGCTACATGTCTTGCTTGAGGGCTGCCCGCGTGTGAAAACTCTCACTTTGGTAAGGATTGTTTGCATGAAACCTGAAATCTACTTTCATATGAAGTGAAACTGATTATTAAGGTATCACATACTCAATTGCAGGCGTTTAGGAAAGCTCCAGTCAGGGGTTTTACCATCTTACCTAGAGAACACCGTGTTCTTCCAACTCTCCAGACAGTAGAGATTGTGCAGCCCATGGTAGACCATGATGCAGGAGAAATGAAGCTTGTCACCTATCTTCTGCAGAACTCAGCGAACCTAAAGGAGCTCATTTTTGGCTTAGGGGATTTCAGGAAGAAGGAGGGAGCAATCATCCTCAAGAAACTTGAGAGGCTGCGCGAAATGGCTATCTCTAGCTGTTGCCTAGAATTTTCCGTTCTCTGATCATCTGATCGTTTTCTCAAAACTTACTTGCTGCTAAGAACTTAGTTGGTGCTATGTTTCTTCATCGTCTGTACAGAGGGGGGGAGTTGATTGAAGTTGAGAGTCTAAGGGGTGTTTCCGACCCAAAAAAAAGTATTGGGGGGGGTTAATAGAAAAAAATATATTG